TTTCTAAGGCAGCCAAGAGAATGAAAATCCAACTTGGGGTTGGTAGGGACAGTCACTTGGCTCAGCAGCGCTGCTGGGCTCACCCACTTTATGCATAAGCAGATGAGGCATCCAGCCCACCACGGCTGCTCCCCAGGGAAGACTTGAAGGAGGTGAAATGATGCCAGCTCTCATCCAGGAGGGGTTCTGGCTGGCTGGCAAGGCACACGAAACTAACATGAGCTAGGTCTGGAAGCTGACAGAGAAGGAGCCCAGGGATTTTGGTTTTAGCTCTGCAGGGCGTGCGCCCCTGCGTGCGTGTGAGCATGTCCATGCGTGCGTGCATGCGTGTGTGTGTGTGTGTGTGTGTGCGTGCAAGGATGTGGGGGTACACAGGGGTGGGGAGGAGGGGCCTTAGAGAACAGATTAGACTGGTAGTGTGCTGGGCAGAGCCTTCCTGGGCAGAGCCTCTAGCTTCTTCTTTGATGTGTCACTGGGTAAGTCATTGTATTGAGTAATCACTGAGAACCTAACCCATATCAGGCCCTGCCCTAGGGATACTGGTAGACCCTGACCACATAGAGTTCACAGCTTGGCAAGAGAGAGGCAAGATTACAACATATTGCTCATATACCACAGAGCTTGGGAGAGGCCTTGGAGCCATATCTGGTTTGAATTGGACTCTGCCACTTACCGATGGGGGGATGCCGGCAAGGAATTTCACTTTTCTGAGCTTCAGCTTCCTTATCCAGAAAATGGAACTAGTAATACTTTCTTTACAGTTTTCATATGAACCTTAACTAAGATAATGGTTGTAATGCACTTAGTTCAGTAGTTGGTACACGGTAAGCACTAAGAAATGGGTGGCTCTTTAAGTAACACTCTATCCTTGTAAGCAAACCTCTTTGGATGGAAAGGGGGCTTGAGGCAAGAGCTGAGGACTTGGAAACGGAGCTCCTAGATTTAATTCACACTCTGCCACCGCTTAGCCGAGTTACTTTGGACAAGTCATTTCCTTTCTCCAGCTCTTTACTATCGGTAACACTAGCAATCACCACCACCATCATCACTACTATCATCCCCCCAAGACTGGAAAAGCCAAGTCCCACTGGGTCCAGAGTTGAGGACACCGGTGTGTGGGGGGTGGAACATATAACCCATGCTCTTCCAGGCCATAGGCATTTGTCCCAACAGTTATCTTACACTGTTTGTCACGAAGGAATATCCCATGAAGGAGGCTAGATTTCAGGAGGAATTTCTGAGCTGAGATTGGAAGCCAAGCTGCTGGGAAGGTGGGGGTCTGAGTAAATCCTTACATAAAATCTGACTTCACTGTTTCCACAAGCGTAACCACAGTGCTGAGGAACTCGTCAGTTCACATTTCATGACAGGTTGGTCGCTGAGTGCAGGGCATGTTGATTTCAGCTGCTTTCACTAAATCCTGCTCCCCGGGCCAAAGAGTGACACATCTCTTCATCTCGGAAGAGGTGGTCCTCCTTCCTATGAGGGCCCAATGGTGATTTCTGCCAACCCCACAAGCCACAGTCGGTGCCGACGGGGTGAGCTGCTCGCCTGCAGCTCCTGACGGGAAGGCTCTGGGCAGTGTCTGTGCCAGGCCTGCCAGGCCAGGAGCCAATAACACGCACACTACGCCGGGAGCTGCCTCTCACCGGGGGTCCCAGTCGTGCCAGACGTGGTGTCAACCACTTTACCTCCATCTTCTCACTGAATCCTTACCACAATCCCATAGGTGATTTTACCATGAAGGAAACTGAGGTGGCAGGGGTCGGGGGGAGGTTAAGCAACTTGCCGAAGCCATTCTACTAGCAGGGAGTAGATTTTCTGAGGCAAAGTCCAGTGCCTGTCCCACCACCTTGTAGCTAACCCCCGGACATAGAGACAGCCCCCCAGCTTCAGTGGCATCCAGTCAGTAAGGCAGTTCTTGCTCACCTTTGTGGCAAAAACTCGATAGCTTTCAAACAGCTCCCACTGGCTGAAGTGCCCTCGGAAGAGCGGTAGGAGCGAGACGCGAAGCGCTCACTCTAGCCAGGCACTATTCGATGCACGTACATACGTTCTAGAATTTGACGGTCGCATGAGCTTTGAGGGAGACATCATTATCTCCAGTTTTCAGATCAGGAAACTGAAGTCGAGAGAAGCCAGTACCTTGCCAAGGTCACACAGTTAGCACGTGGCAGTGGCGGGACCGAGGCCAGCAGGTACCGCGGATACAGGGCGGGTGGCGAGAGAGAACCACCTTCCAAGTGCCTTCACTCACCTTCAGCCTGGCTTCTGGGGGGAAGCGACAGCTGAGGAGAAACAGTGGCCCGTGGAGAGGCGACACAGAGTGCTGGGCCGCAGGTGAGGCCCGGGGCCCCAGGCTGAACGTTGGCCGCCAGCCTCCTCAGGCCCTGGTGTGCCTTAGGCAAGGCTGGCAACCCCCTGAGCCTCGAGGTGATGTCCTACCTGGTCCCCCTGCCCACGGGGCTGTCACTGTGGGGGTGCGCGTGCATGTGTGAAGTATCTCTGTAGGCTGGGAAGCACTCGACAAACACAAATTGCTTTTACTATTGCCAGGGGAGACAGTAATTTTGAAGCCATCTTTGAAATTCCTGGCCGGGTTGGCAGTCATGACACTGTTTTTGTTAGCTGTAGGTTGGAGCTTTAAAAACTATAATCCACATTTCTGAAAAGGCATATTTCATCTTGCCTCTATCAAATGTCTTCATTAATATCAAGGGCTCTCATCAGTGGCTGTTTTAATCATAATCATAACAGCAGCTAACATTTACTGAGCCCATATCACAAGCTGAGTAGCATGCTAAGTGCTTCTTTAATATCATCTTAAATAATTCATCACATGATAATTTTCCAAATAATAACCCCAGAAGGTAGGGACTGTCACCACCTCCATTTTACAGCTCAGAGAGGGGAAGGAACTTGCCCAGAGTTATAACTAGGACCAGCGTTTGAACCAAGGTTTGTTGGGCTCAGGGACGCTTCTCATCACTTGGAACTCCTCTGCCTTCACACACGAGGCCACACACACGTTTGACACTAGTTATGGGGAGTGGTGTACGAGGAAGGGAGGATGACGAGCTCTCACAGTTCTATTCAAAGTCCCTTCCAATGGGTCTGCCATGTCCTTTTACAGGACCAATGAAAGAATACTTAGTGATCTCACCCAAAGTTATACCTGCCTCCGTGAAAGGCTGTACAGTTTCATCGGGGATTAACAATGCACACACAGTTATATACCTATCATAAATTAGCTTTGTGGCCACATAACAAACAATACAACCCAGCGTGGCTTCAAGAGGACCATTTATTATATTGCTATAAACGGAGCTATATAAAAAGAATTATTCCTAAGACCCTGCGCGTCTGTGTTTGCAATCATGTCTTAATGCGAACTTTGCAAACAAGGATACAAGTCCAATTTAGACTGCATGTTGCACACCAATTCTCCATTTAATGGGGCAAGGTAGTTCAGAGTATTCCAAAGGCACAAATGCTGCATGGATCTCATTTTTGCCAAAGGCCTCAGCCATCTTTCCTGATCACAAAAAGGACTGTTAATATGCAACATAATGAGTTCATTTGAGCTGCACTTCGTTTACAGTGTGGCGTGGTAAAGAAAGTGATTTAAGCAAAAAAAACCCAAAAAACCATAGTGGGGGATGCTGCCACTTTTTAGCTGTGTGTCCTTGGGTGGGATTACTTAAAAATTTCCTGTGCCTTAGCTTCTTTATCATTATTTCTCTTCATTTGTTTGTTTGCTGTCTCCCTCAGTGGAAGCTCAACAAAGATTTCTTATCTCTTTGTTATCTCTGATTAGAAGAGTGTCTAGTACATAGTAGGTATTCAAAAGTATTCATTGATTAAAGTATTATGTAAATCAGTGAAACAGGGGTGATGATACCTTTCCCACAGAGCTTTCATGTGGATTTAAACAGTGGACTCTGTTGAAATGAGATCTGAGAAGTGAACACACCTACCATATCCCAGTACTGTGCTAGGTGATTCACACATGTTCTCATTCAAGCCCTCGTCTGGAGAGGGTCTACATATCGTAAAGCACTTATGAACAGAAGGGTGCTAATGTAATGATCCTTTGAATGTTATATATATAAACCCTCTATATATGAACTGAACACTACAGTGAAGAACACATTCAATCATGTGTTCTTTCATGTGTTTATTATCCATTCATCAGTATTTATCAAGCAGCTGCTGTGGGCCAGGCCTGTGTTGAGTCCTGGGCATGGAGGGTGAACAGACACGTTTGCTATCTTCATGGAACTTACTGGCTAGCAGAGAATCTGGCCAGAATGTCTGGTGGGGATCAGGTCACAGAGAACCCTAAATAATACACTGAGTTCAGACTTTATTCTGATGAACGAGTGAAACCAAAGAGTTTGACAGCTGGGACCTGATTCCCCCACGTTTTTTTAGAGAGGTAGGGGGAGGAAGGGTGGGGCAGAGGGAGCAAGAGAATCCCAAGCAGCCCAAGCAGGCTCCCTGCTGAGTGTGGAACCCGACCTGGGGCTTGATCTCACAACACGGGGATCACGACCTGAGCTGAAATCAACAGTCAGACGCTTAACCGACTGAGCCACCCAGGTACCCCTGGACCCGAGTCCTTTAAAGCCTCATCCCTGCAGGTCTTACCTAGGCGCACTGTTCCCTATGGACTTGCCTCTAGGGATGACCACCGTAACATGGGAGATGAGATTTCAATCTACTATTCTAATTCACATGGTTATAGGACAATGTTTTCACTCTCAAGGCACCACTATGGAAGAAATGATGTGAAGATTAATTTCTGAATCTTCTGCTGATCTGAAAGTACAGGTGCTGAAGGATGGTGTTCAGGGGAAGAGGAAAAGTAACACCCCCCCCCACCCCCCTGCTAAATGACCAGGAACAGGGTCAGATCACTGACGGGGAATGAATGGCGCGCATGTAATGGTGGGAAGCTCCTCCCTCCCGCCACGCGGTGCCCTTCTCCCCACACTTACCGATAGAACAGTCATGTCCTGTCCAGCCTGGGTCACAGCTGCAAAGGCCGGTGTCTGGGAGGAAGGTTCCGTGGCCCGAACACTGGTCCAAGCACGTGGCCCTGGGCGTCTCGCAGTTGGTGCCTCCCCATCCCACGGAGCAGTGGCACTCGCCTCTCACACACACCCCCCGGCCTGAACACGTGGGGTCCATGCAGTCCACTGTGACACGGAGCAGAGAGAACAGAGAGAACACAGGTGAGCATCTGACCAGTGAAGTGGTGAAGTACTACACTTCGTCGTGGAGGGGCTTCACCCTGGTAAAAGGACACAGACTTCCTGTGGAGAGGCCACTGAATAGAGTAAAGAGGAAGAACTTGGATGAACAGTAGACCTGGGTTCCTGGCTTGATAGGAGGCTGACTGCTTACCTAGGGGAGGTTCCCTTGCCTATAAAATGTGGATACAAATTCCTACTTCTTGGTTTGTAAGGCAGAGTAAGAAATGCATATCAAGGGGCACCTGGCTGGCTCAGTTGGTAAAGCATGTGACTCTTGATCTCATGGTTATGAGTTCAAGCCCCATGTTGGGTGTGGAGCCTACTTAAAAAAATAAAGAAAGAAATATATATCAAGTGTTAGCATGGTACCCAGCGCCTGCGGCACCTGTAATAACTACACCAGTTAGCAGACAAGACTTCATTTTGTCCCCTTCTGTGTATCCAGCTCCCAGAAAGGTGCTCAGCACAGAGGAGGTGCTCAAGAAATCTTTGTCGAATAAACTATTATTGTTTACCACTTCACAATACAGTCTTACCATGAAGGTGGGACTAAAAGAGATTCCTTAATTGAAAAGAGAATTTATTTTGCATTTAAATTCCATCAGATGTTATCATCTTCCCAAAGTTCTTGTGACTGACACAAACTTTCAAACCTCACTTTCCAGAGGGCAAACATTTCAATGACTATCCAAAATTACGTGCACTGCCATGAGACACTCTGGACTCCAGGAAACAAACTGAGGGTTGCAGAAGAGAGGGGGTGGAGGGGATGGGGTGGCCGAGCGATGGCCATTGAGGAGGGCACGTGACGTGATTAGTACTACTATATGTTGGCGAATTGAACTTAATAAAAAACAACAACAACAAAAACCCCCACAAAATTATATCCACAGGCTTTGCACAGCTTCTCCTCACATAGGGGGTGAACTGTATAGCTGTGGCTCATGGCCAAGCAACCCCTGTAGGGCTCCTAGAGCCCAAGGTCAAGGTGGTCTCAAGAGAGCAACCCAGAAATAGAGAAAGGAGAATAACATGTGGGTTACCTGCTCTGTGCCTGCACCATAGGATGCGCTTTACATATATCCTCAGAATCAGGTTCTTCCATAACCCCGTGAAGTACAGATGAGGAAATTAAGGCTCAGAGAGGCAAATAATTTATGCCGGATCATACAGTTAACCCTGCCAGAGAGGAATCTGAAGGTCTATCGGATTCTGAAGCCAATATGTGTTACTGGGGTTGATTTTCCTAAATCAAAGCTTTAGGTACGGGGCTGCACAAAATTAACAGAGACCTCTAATCTTCCGTAAAGCCCTGCACAGAAAAAGCAGAAGGAGAGTACTGAGGGCCACCTTATCACATGGCTCCAGTTCACATGGAAAGTGCAAAAGGCAGCAGAGAGAAGACAGAGTTGGCAAAGGCCGGTCCAACTCTACCAAAAAGTTGTGAGATCTGTCTTTCATTTTAGGAAGGCAGAGGATTCCCATTCCTCCTGCAATTGTAAGGGAGAATGGTGTCCTGGTAGGGCCGCCATGTGCAGCAGCTGGAAAAAGGGTTGACGGTGCCGTAGCGAGTGTGGTCAGCTTCCTCCAGGAAGCCCTCCAGAGGAAGCCCTGTCCTCCACAGGAAGGAACTTGGCAACCGATCTCGGAGGTCCTAGGTTCAAGGGTCACGGGACAAAGGCACTGGTTCTAGGACTACTGTCAAGTCACGTACCTCCTCTGAACTTCCCGTGTCAAAATTATCTAACAGTTGCTAATGAGGACACTGAGGATTTGGAAGGACCGTGTGAACGATACACTGTTGCCAAGAAGTTACTTTTCCATCCTATCAGGACCTTCAGTGGCATGACTTGGGTAACCTGGAGAGAGGCGCTTTTACTTTATAATTCAGGCATGATTTTACTTCATTGATTAATTAAATTTTATAACCCCACATATTTGACTTTTGCAGAAAAGATGGGGAAACCTGGCCTTGGTACGTTAAAGTCACAGACACAAATGGACAGAGACTGTACAAACGGCCACATACTGGGAACACAGTGTCTGTCTGAGGGCCAGCTTATCAAGATAGCTCTTTTACTTTTTAGGTCTTGAAAAGGAGTTCAATTTAATAACCTAAATGAGACATCAGAAGGTCAGCAGTCAGGAGCAATCATTTGCTAAAAACAGAATCTTGGGAACAACAATAGCAACAACAATAATAATAACAACTAGTACTGATGTAGTCCCTCTTCTGGGCCATATTTTGCTATTCAACCATTTACCTCCACAGTCTCATTTAACTCTAGTGACAATTCTTTGAGGTAGATACCATTACTATCCCCATTTCACAGATGAGGAAATGAAAGCATAGAGAGGTTAAATAACTTGCCCAAGATCACACAGTGGTAAGTGGAGGAATTTAAATTTGAATCACTCTTTCCTGGTACACATCTCTTGCTATTTCTTCTGTAATCTTACTGGTTCAAAAATACACACATACATATATACAGACCTAAATGGTTAAAAAATAGAAATAAAAGCAAAACAAACCAAGAAAAGAAATAGAACAAAGTGGAGAATTAGTAAAGCCAAATGAAGGCAAAGTATCTTCTCTCGCAGTCTCTGGACACCACTTCACGATGGTTAAAGCATGACCCATTGGAGTTCCTGGTAATTAAAAATAATAAAAATAATAAGTGATATATTTTCATGACAAGCCTCACATCTCAGAAACTCAGAAGGATTCTTCTGGCCCATTAGGCTGCTATGATAATTCCCTAGATCCAGAGAGCTTTCCAATTTGATAGGAAACGACTCAGCAATTCTTGTCCTGAGGCCCATAAAGGTATTTCCCGTTCTGGGAGCGCCTGGGCCCAGGCTTCGGGGTTGACGCTATCTCCGAGGCGCCCTTGAGGTTGAATCTATAAATCTGCACTGTCAGTGAGCAAGCCGAGAGGGTGCCAAGTTTAGCAAGAGGCCCTTGGCGTCACAGTCCTGCTCCTCAGACACAATAAGTCTGAGAGGGACCCAGGAACCAGCAAAGCGAATCCCACACTCTCAGAAGATGGTCCAGGCAGGGAACGAAGACCAGAAGGCACTGACGACAGGACTGCACCTCAAGAGAAGGCCACTCGGCTAAAGTGGCCGAGCAGCGTCCCCTCAGGGAGGACGCTGTCCCTGCTGACCCGATACCTACGGCCATTATCTATGCCACTGTGACACTCTGCTAGAGACATCCTCCGCAGACTCAGGATCTGCCCTCGCTTTCTGGGGCCTCTGGGGTGATGGGAACCCTAGGATGGGATGAAAGTTGTCTTCCTTCTATCACACCAAGACGGTTTCACAAATGACATCTGTTTCCCTGGGAGCTGTGGGTCACATGGGGAGACCCAGCCAGCCCGTGGTGGGGGAGCTCTATGCTGAAGGAGTAGGGGAGAGGTTGGCAGGGAAGGGGGCCGAACTCTGGGTAGAAGACAGTCTAACTTAGTTTCTGCTTAGACGAGGGGCCAAACAGTTACCTGTTTTTTCCTCTGCAGAGCCTGACATTCAAGCCAAAATTTCTGGCAGAAGCTTAGCCCATTAACAAAATGAGGAGGCCTGCACGGCCAAGCTGCAAACACAACTCTTTCCCCAAAATGTGCCCTGCTTCAGTGACCACACAAGCTATTAGATGCTCTTCAGGACCAAAACACAGTGTCACTTTGCACTGCAAAAGGCCTAAGGTGTTCTCTTCTGACCCCCCCCCACCTCCCTCCAAGCGTCCTGTTGGCACGGTTTGGGCTTTAAAAAATACGGGGCCATAAACTTCAGAAGAAGAAGAGGGAGACAGGGAAAAAATAAGCTTGTTAGTTGATGTTTTATAAACACGGTGAAACCCGTCAGAAGAGAGCTGAGGGAGGAGGAGGAGAGAGAGGAGTGGGGCGGGGTGGCGAGGAAGGCCCCAAGAAACCCGCATTATAAACACAAGGACTGTGCAGTGACGCTTCACCAGGGGAACAGAAATAATAAAAGGAATCAGTACCACATGGCCCTCCTCAGAAAAGAAAGGAGTCAAAACACTTCTTTGAAATAGATAACGTAAATCAAAGAGCTAAACAACTTTTTTTTTCCCCTTTGTAAGTAAGCCTGCACGCTGGGGCACTGTCCAGAACCAGCTGAGCTGGGGAAGGGACAGCGGGCCCTCCCTGGCCCACAGGACATGCTGGACTTCAGGGTGGGAGGACCCCAGTGTTTCAAGAGGAATCTCCTCTTTGCTTTTCTTTTCTTCTCTGGGTCTTCACCTCAAGTGACTAAAATGCAAAGGGAAAGCAGATGAAGGTCACCATTGTCGGGATGAGAAAGCGAAGTTCCTTTGTTCCAGAGGCTGGCGCTCCTCCTTTCTCAGACAGCCCAAAGTAATCCCCATCAAAGTTAATAGGTCTGAATCAGGACCTCCAGGCACACTTGGGGTTTACAGGCAGGCTGTCTCAGAAAGGCGCTGCTTTTCAGACACTAATCCTTTCCTGTTCCCCACTCTTTGAAAGTGGGCCCATTATATTGGCTCTCTCTCTCTCTTTTTTTTTTTTAAAGATTTTATTTATTTATTTGACCGAGAGAGATACAGCAAGAGAGGGAACACAAGCAGGGGGAGTGGGAGAGGGAGAAGCAGGCTTCCCGCGGAGCAGGGAGCCCGATGCGGGGCTTGATCCCAGGACCCCGGGATCATGACCCGAGCCGAAGGCAGATGCTTAATGACTGAGCCACCCAGGTGCCCCTTGGCTCTCTTTTTTTTCCTTTTTCTTTCTTTCTTTTTTTTTTTTTTTTTAAGAGAAATGATACCTTGAGAGGGGCCTATGTGTTAAATCCCAAATGGGTTAGGAGGTTAGCTCTCCTTTGGAGCCTCTTCCATCCACCACGAAGATGCCAGTGCCCTATATGGTGGGCAGTGGGAGGGAAGCCCATTAGCAGCATCCACCCATTTCTAAAGACCTTGGATAAAGTGATTGGGGTGAAACAGGAAATGTGCTTCAACTGTCCCCAGATTAATACTAATAATATAAGACCTAACATTTATGGGGCATTTATTACGTGTCAGACACTGCTTTACATGGGTCATTTAATTCAATCCTTATGATGGCCCTCTGAGGAAGGAAATCCCATTTTATTGATGAGGGAAGCGAGGCTAGTTAGTGGCACAACCAGGACTCAAACCTACATCTGATCCCAGAGCATGCACTCTTAAAAGCCACTTGTATATATATTGCTTGTGAATAAGACCCTTCTCGTCTACAAATCCCATGCAGGCAAGAAGAGGGCTCTGAAGTCAGAAGACCTGGGGTGGGTCCCAGCCCTGCTGCTGGCTAGCCCCATGACTGCGGGCCCACAGCTGCCCTTCCTCAGGCCACAGAAATGCCCACATATCTCACCAGATGAGATTGCCTAGGGAAGAGCTGGCGCACTGTTAAAGTGGAAGCTCACTTGCTAGCCTCCACTACACACAGTGTACTTTATGAAGGAAAGAGACACACTCACAAGCACCGATGAGCTACACGCACACACACCTGTGCCTACAGAGGGCAGAGTCTGGAGGTCTATAACAGACTCTTACTTAAGACATGGACAGAATATGAGCTTAAAGGGGAGGAGAAAGAACCTGGGCTCGGGGGCCAGAAACACTGGGCTCAACCCCAGTGCCACCACCTGCAGCCGTGTGACCCTGGGCAGGTCATGTGACTCTCTGAGTCCCGGTTCCCCTGACTATAAAACAGAGGTAATTACCTCACCCTATCAGTTTTGAGGTTAAATGATCTAAGGCTTCCAGGACACAGCCTGCATACAGTGAGACTTCTCTTCCCTTCACCAGCTAGGGCTCCCGTTTGCCTGTCCTCTTGTGCTAAGTTAGTTATCGCTGCTGGCGGGTGCCCAGCTCGGGGCAGAGCTGCACCCTGCACCCTGAAGCGTTCCGAGAGGAGGCGGGCCGCCCACCCCACTCCGAGGTCCTACCTTCCTCACAGCTCTCGCCCTTGTAGCCGGGGTTGCAGATGCAGGTGCCCATGATGCAGGTGCCGTGGCTGCTGCAGGCCACGTCGATGCACTGGCTGGTGGGCACGTCGCACTCGGCGCCCTTCCATCCGCTGTGGCACAGACACCGGCCCTTCACGTACTGACCGTTTCCGCTACAGAGCACGGGGCAGGAGGCTGCGGAGACAGCACGGCAAGGCTGGCGTGAACCGATGCCTGGCGCGGCCCACCCGCCTTTGTCCCTTTCTCCCTTCGGCCTGCAGGCCGGACCAAGAGCCTCAAGTGCTTTGCCACAGTCCCCGAGTGTATCCATCTGTCTACGTCTCTGGCTTTATTTCATTCTGGTTTAAACACATGTGGAACTGTAGGCTAGGCTGTGCCGTGCAGGGCCTGGTGGAGTTAAGCGCCCACTGAACGCTGCTCTCCTCCATCCCCCTCGTACTGTGGGTGCAGCATGGTGGTGGGGCCAGGACCCTGACGCACAAAGCTTCCATCTGTTCCTTGGTCTTACTGGAAAAGACAGCGGCTGGGCCTCCTGCCTGCCCCAATCTCCCCTCCAGCACTCTCCTGACAGCATTCCATTTTGTTCCCTGTGCCCCATCTGCAGCACCACCTGCTGTCTCTCTAACCCAGCAAAGCTCAGCCTTTCTTGCCTTTCAGGCTCCACTCAAGCCCCACACACTAGTGACCCCATAAGAGAATAGCTCAGCCCAACTTGGCTCTTTAAAGTATTACCTTCAAGCCCCACACACTAGTGACCCCATAAGAGAATAGCTCAGCCCAACTTGGCTCTTTAAAGTATTACCTTCAAGCCCCACACACTATTGCCCCCATAAGAGAATAGCTCAGCCCAACTTGGCTCTTTAAAGTATTACCTTCCCATTCTGCCTCTTAGCATAAAGCGTTGCGTGATCATCCGTATGAAGGACATGATATAAAAATAAATTATATTGCACTGTGCAGTAAGTACCTACCAGCCTTACCGAGATACAATAAGGCTGTTTTATACATGACTCTCAAGTTCAAGTGTGGTTGGGATGAGACAGTAATTCTTGTTGGAGGGAATGACTCATCTCCTCTCACTGCACCCCATTCCCCTGGCCCCCATCTGGTTTCTTTCCTTTTAGAGGCACTCAGCAGGTAATCACTGTGGTTCCTCGGGGCTGCAGCTCTGCAATCTCAAGCGGAGTCTCTTCCACATTAGGAACAACAAGCTGAAGCCCCCAAACAGCATCATGTCACAGTATTTGCTGGGCACTCTGAAAAACCACCTCTGCCTCACACTGATGAACGACTGTTCAGGCATCAGGTCTGGATTCCAATTCCAATTCCATCCAGGGAGCTTTCCTGGTCCTCATCGTGTCCAAGCTAAGACAGCCGCTCCCTGAATTTAACCTTGCTGTAGCGTGTTTCACTTGCCCATGACTGCTTTGTCATCGTCTACTTACTTGTCTGTCCCCCTGACCAGACTGAGAGCTCCTGGGCTGGGCCTCGCTCAGTGCTCTAACCCCAGCACCTAGCACGGGAACAAGCCCCAAAGGGCACTAAGCAAACACTTGCTGAAGGATTGAAGAGGTGGGAAGACCAAAGGAAGGAGCCGTTTCAGTTTCCCAAGAGGAGTGCCAGAGCCTCAGACTACAGAGCTCCTTTGGCCTTTGCCCTGTTGACTCTTCCAAGCCAAATGCACGGGGCACATCACGGGTAGCCTTTAAGCCATCTCAGTACTGGTCATCATTAGCACTGTCCATGCCCAGATATGAGGCAACATTAGGGTCCCGTGTGGCATAAAGCAGCCCCCCACCCAACCCCTCCCCTCAGTGCTCTCAACAGAGATCCCGGCACCATGGAGCAGTAATGCAGGCCTGGCCACAAGGCCAGAGAGACCACACTTGCGAAGTGACTGGCAAAGCCCCTTGGCACATGTCAATTATCCTTCAATAGTCAAAAAACAAAATGGAACAACCTTCCCCCCGCAAAAAAAACCCCACCAAAGGCACTTGGCAAAGGCTGAGCAGTCCTCAAAATGGAAATCAACTTTTTAAGAGGACCACAACTGCCACTTCCCCTGCGCCTAGCACAGACACGAGGTTCACGCCCTTGTGAACAACGGGGCTGACGTGGCCCCGGCTCCACCGGCAGACCCTGCTCTCGGGGCTTCCGGACAACGGCCCTGGGGGGGCCCTTCTCACGGGAGACAGCAGGTGGCCCGGGGCCCTGCGCTTGCTCTGAGAAGTGCGACGTGCGTCACCCACGGGGCCGGGGGGAGTGGGGGTCGCCCGCAGATGCACAGGTCTCACCTCTGCCACAGTCGGGGCCCAGGAAGCCCAGGAAGCAGTGGCAGGTCCCAGAGATGCAGTCCCCGTTGCCATAGCAGTTGCTGGGACAATTATCCACCGACTCTGGTGGGGAAGAGAGAAGGAGAGTTGAAAAGAGGCCTTCGTTACCCAACAGAAGGCCCAGGGATCCAACCTCAGGTTAGCCAGGGCCCACACATTCGAGGTCTTCCGGCCCAGTCACTGAAAGGAACCGACAAGAGTTAAAAATTATGCGCTATTTTTACTCTTAGTGCATCTCAATTGACACTAAAAGATGTGTTCTGGAAAATGTCCGCCTGAACCAAGATTTTATATATCAAATTTGTATCTACAAATGCATTAGAAATTCTGCAGCTAAAACACTGGGGAAAACAGCATAAGCTGTCAGCAGTGCTGCTTTGTGGAGGCCAGCTTATTGGGCGAGTCTCACGGTCTTCTTCGCACTTTCCGTGCTTCACATTTTTCTCATAATGGGCCGATATTCCATTTTCTTGGTTTTTTCTTAGAGCTACTGGGCATTTGCAGACCTGTCTTTTCCCATGTCAGGGTTTTCACCTATTGGCCGGGTGCCCACTGTGGGCCCACCAGGGCTAACACAACAGCCTGGAAGCTGGCCTCCTGCTTCCCCTCTCACCCCCCACTCCGATTCCGTCACCGCCCGGTGGACTGAGCCATCTCTCGGGAACAAATATGATCCTGTCATTCTCCTGCTTGAAATCCTTCGATGGCTCCCCATTTATTGAGACAAAAAAATTCCAAGATCTCTCAAAGGCACTGGAGTTTTCTTTCACATTCCCTTTGCTGTACCCGCCTCCCCAGCATATGTGGTCATGCCCACCTTTTGCCGGGATGGGATTTTCTCAGACTCTTCCTACTACTTTTGCTATATTCTGTGTGACCTGACAAGGAAATATGGAGTTCATTTAAGAAAGATTTTAGCAAAAAAAAAAAAAAAAAATCGTCAATGTTTTGTAGCTTCAGATAGTAAGCCTATTATCTAGAAAATCTGTTTATTTGGAACAGCCTGTTTCTCAATAATGCTGGGTGTGGAATAAGGGAAAGAAGCCACTCTATACTGGAGCCTTCTCTGTGCCACATGTTTCCACAAAGTTTCTCCCATTTCACTGTCACCAAATCTGCAAGCATGTATTGTTATTCCTATTTTTAAAAAAGAAAAAAAAAAGAGGAGGCTCAGAGAAAGATGAAGTGGCCTACTGAGAATCACAAAGATGCTGAGTCCTGGAGGTAGGATTTGAACCCAGGACTCAGGGCCTGGTCTTCTTCAGTGATGCTGTGCTCTCTGGGCCTTGAGGGAACTCACTCCACAGCAGAAGCCTGGAGAAGGAACAAGGTGACAGATCAATGGCACAGTGAGGCTGGTCTTGAAGACAGCAAAGGATCCCGCTGTAAGGTAGTAAATTCTAGGGCTTTCAGGGCTTAAAGGATCCAAAAGACCATAGCCTAATGCTCTCATTTAATAGTGAAGAAAACTGAGACCCGGAGAAAGGTCAGGGACTCACCCAAGGTCTCAGAGTGCGTCAGCAGAGTCCGAATTGAAAGCAGAGGAAGGGTTAGTCAGGTGGGACAGAGTTAAGGATTCAACGTGTTGTCTTAGCTCACAACTACAAGCCATGAAGCTAAGACTAAGGCCTCTGCTAAATGAGATGTTAGCGTCTAAGACGTGAGTCTTGCCCACAGGGAATCTGCAGCCTAACTGGGAGAAAGAGACGACAGCTGTCACCCAGGCAGTAGCACGGGGCATGGAAGAAGTTGTGCCTGGAGGTAAAGAGACCCTGTACGGGGGCCCATTCTTCTAGTATCATGCTGGGGGGGCCTAAAACAACTTCCTGCCCCTCTCTGGGCCTCACCTCCTTCATATATAAATGAAGGTGATGGCAGAGATGATGACCCCTGGGACTGCTACCTGTTCTAAAATTTTATGAGTCTATAATTAATTAAGAGAGCAACTGTGCAGAAAAGGTGTCCAGACAAGGAAGGGCATTGAGCCTTAAGAGCAACAAAGCACTTAGGGCCAAGGCAATGGTAACTGATACGGCACAAAACCAGCAGAGGGAAGGCTTCTCAGAGGAGGTGGGCTTGAGGAATGGCTTGGGTATGGATCGATAAGGGAAAAGATGGAGGGATGGTGACGAATTCATAGTGTGGTGCATTTCCTGGAATGCACCTATTATTGACTTGGAAACTACTTAAAAAGAGTTCAAGAGTTCAAATGCGTGGTTCTTTTTGTGAATGGGTGGGAAATTCCACTCACTCGATGTTGTCCCTCTGCGTAACAAGGGCTGCGCTCTACGTGAACACAGAGTTAAGAACAAGAGGGTCCAATCTAGCATGTGCTCTCCTTGCAGCTCAAAGCGGTCTGGGTCCTGGTGGAGCGAGGCTCCCAAGCCAGGGCCCTGAGCACCTCTGCTCTCCATTGGCTTTTCCTGGAAGAATCCATGTTCCTACGGTCTTAAAGTTATAAGTGTCCTTCTAGAGAATGACTTAGGAAGTTTCTTTCTGAATATGCTTTTAAAAATAAGAATTTTGAGGGGCCCCTGGGTGGCTGAGTCGGTTAAGTATCCAACTCTTGATCTCAGCTCAGGTCTTGGTCTCGGGGTTGTGAGTTCAAGCCCTGCATTGGGCTCTCTGCTGGGAGAGGAGCCTACTTAAAAAAAAAAGAATTTGGAGTAAAATTTAAGGCAAGATTATTTTCACTTTAGGCTACTGGCTGGTGGTCCAACTGGGGAGGGTGGGTTCCACCTTCAGCACCACAGAAGGGGTACAGGGCAGAAGCAGGAGGCCTGGTTGCCAGGTCCTGTTCTGCTACTGCCTAGCTGTCAGACGTTGGCCGTGTCACTTGATCTTCCTGCACCTGTTTCCTCATCCTTACACTTGTTCCTCCCTTGCTTCCCTGCATGGCAATACCTAGTCCTTTCAAATCCAGCTCAAATGTCACCTCCTCTGACAAGCCTTCTTGACTTCTTAAACAGGCTAAGTTACTCCCAGGACTCTGTCCCCCTCAGCCCTATTAAAGCATCATGTAGTCCACGTTGTTGCTCTCACTGAGAGAATTCAACCAGATGATCTCAGAGATCCCCCCGCCCCAATCTAAAACTCTCTGGTTCAGTCCTTCTCAAACCCAGGGGTATAAAATATGTCTCTTAATAAATTACCATAGTTACCACTTGCATTTTTAACAGGATCAATTGCAGATAAGTGTTACACACTGTCTAGATTTTGATTTATGAAGCCTGTAAGATACAAGCCTGTTAATCATCTGCCAAAAAGCCTTCACAGTGAAACAGTGAGGAAAATACATTTTCTGTGACTGAGTATAGTGTTGTTTGCTAAATCTGACAGAAGAGAAGTCTGTTTGCTTCAAAATTTGCCCCAGGCTGTTGGGTGTCAGAGAAGGCAAAAGTTTTAGGAGACATGGAATAATTTTACGATAGCAACAAGGAAGTAGAAGGGAGACATTTAGAGAATATTTATTTTGGATGAAATGTTAATGTCTATAGTTTTTCTTCCATTTGGAAGGCTTTCAAGTACTTGGGGCCCACTTGGGACTGCACAAATAATGAGTCTCCACTAACCAGGTATCTCTATACTAAATGCTAGTGCAGAAGAGACACTCATTGGCTTGGGAGAAGTGTGAACTTTATTGCATAAATGTTATGTTTCCAATTAGTGTTTGGTGAATTCCTTCCCCTATCGTTCCTTCCTGCTTTGCTCACATTCAGACTGCAGCTGCCTTCATTTAGCAGAAGGTGTACCTTTAGACTGCTCAGACCTGAGTTAAAATTTCAGCTGCCTATGAATTACTGATTTTCATAATTGGTTGGATGGTATGCTGGAGGACTGGTGGGGGGGCGCTTTGCCCCTAGCTTTTGTTTTTCTCTCACAACAGTGGGTCCTGCTAGGAGATTTAATTTTCAGGAACTTGTTTTTCCTTCCATCAATATTGGAATGTGGAGTTTAAATGTTTCCTTAGCTCATTCTCTGGATATGTGTTGTGAGTGGGCGTGTTCTCTGGATGTGGCTCAAAATATTGTTCAACATACAAAGGGGTGTCTGCAGAAGGAAGAGAAGACAATGCTCCTTCCTAGAGATGTGGAAACCACAGACGCCTCAGTGAACCCATTATAGTGCCTTACTTGGTCTGCTCGCTACCCTTTCCCAGACACAAATCACTAGCACTGCTGTGAAATGAGATGGTGAAAGATGATCAAGTCAAGGTCAAGGTGAAAGAGGATCACAGTTGATAAATACATCCTCCCGATCTGTGGTTGAGGTCCAGAAAAGCCTGCCTTCATTTTCTACCTTTTGCTTTCCATTTTTGAGATCCCGAAGACTAACTTTGTAGGAAACAAGGAGAGACCACAGAAGAAATCCTGCCTGGAGGAGGACTACGAGGCAGGCTGACTGCCCACTGGACTCCTACTTCAAGGGGCAGTCACACCAGAAGAGGAGAGGTGGCTTTTCTCCTCCACCAGCTCACCATGGCCATGGGAGTCTGCTGACGGATTCCAGCACCAAAGACAGAAGGAATCGGCTGTGAGTGATGCCGGAGCTCACCAGCCATCCTCCGTCTCTCTTCTCCACTCGTCCGGTACCTATCCCTCCTTCCCAGCACCTCCTCTATCTCCTGTTCCCCTGTGATGTGCCCCAGCCAAGAGAAGCAACTCTTTCCACTGCTTCTCTTGTCGCTCCTTAAGTCGTAAATGTGGATGTCAGCAACTCTTTCAGAGCAGTCGGTTAAAGAACCAACGTCTACCTATTATGCAGCAGAGATCCACTCTCTGGTGCTTCCTTTTGGCTTCACTGTAGGATAGATGCTAATGCTTCAGGCAAGAGGAAGGAACTTGGACTCTGGGACAGCCAACTGCATGACTGGACATATGACCTTGACGGCAGCTAGTGAAATACTTTAGGTTACATCTATTACATCTTCTTTGATCCTGAAAGGGGACTGGCCTTATTATTGGCAACAAGGAAAAGAGAGGAAGACAAACTAGATGGCACAGCTGGGAGTTAATTCTACAGCAACTCACGGTAGAGAGGAGACTCTAATAGAGACCCTCTCATTCCCTCAAATGGAACCATGAAAGGTGTACGATATATTTTAATTTATTCCTCATAATAATTATGAGAAATGGGTACCTTTGCCATCATTTTACGCATTTACAGCTCTCAGATGGAGACTGTGAGCTGAAGTCACTTTCTCAAGGTCACACAGCTATAAGAGCAAATCTAGTAGGTGAACCAAGTTCTATCTGATGCCAAAGAAGCTGAAGGTTGTAGTATATGGCCTGAACCAGAGCATGGGCTCCAGGAACCAGGATGCCTCCTGCTAACTATATGCCTTTTGGACAAGTCATCTCTACATATCGATTTCCCCATCTGTGAAATGGGGTTAATAATGGCACCCACCTAAGAGAGTTATTTTGAAGAGCTAATAGTGTAGCAGTGTGCATGTGAAGAGGTTTGCTCAGGCCTTGGCAGAGTTGGTATTTTGGTTTTAAGGAAAGGTCACACATGCCTTCCATTTGTGAACCAAAGCAACATACTAACTTGGTCTAATGAATCCCAACAAGGCAATGTGGGCTTTTGGAGGTGAGTGCACACACATATACATATAAAGCACACAGCAACTCTCCATGGTAAAACAGGAAAGCAAACAAGCACTGTGCTGAATGCGAAGAAGGGAGGGTGTTTGGGTACATTCCCTCCTGGGGAAAAGCACTATCAAAACAAATTAAACCTGTTGTCCCCCAGAAGCCCAAACACAGGCAGATTCATGCCAACATCTGAAAGAACTTTTCTCCCTGTGCACTTGAGATTGGCACTGGGAAGGTGCCAGGTGCTGGAAAGCTGTTACATGGCCTGTGAGGTGTCAGTCCCTGTAGGTGCCCCAGCTCTCTGCAGATGATGGGATTCAAAGACCTCCAGTCTGCAATAGTCTAGGTCAATGCAATGACAAAAATTTGACAAAGCCCCTGACAGCCTGGGCTTCAAGCCAGTTCTGCCCTGGTATTTGAACTGGGAGATCTGTTTTCAATCATACCCAGAAGTTTACCGACCACTATGAAGAGCAACTCTAAAGAGGGGGTCTAGGAAAGATGATGATTCCCTTGATTGTATTAAGTTTTGGTTATTTGCTAATTCTTTCTTTGGGGGCACACGGAATTTCACCAATAAGACTATGAGCTACTTGAAGACGAGCATCAAGTCTGGTTCTCCAAAAAGTCTGGTGTGTGCTACACACAAAGCAAGTACTCAGTAATATTCACTGTGTGGAGAAACTGAGCAGGAATACAAGGGGAGAAATGGAGGAA